ACAACAGATTAGGTTGGAATAGCCCTCCCCTTTCTGGTTTGTACCTGAATGTGATACCTCGAGCTATACAGTCATCTTTTTTTTTTTTTTTTTTTTTTTTTGAGACAGAGTGTTACTCTGTTGCCCAGGCTAGAGCGCAGGGGCGTGATCTTGGCTCACTACCACCTCTGCCTCCCAGGTTCAAGCGATTCTCCTGCCTCAGCCTCCTGAGCAGGTAGGATTACAGGCATGTGCCACCATGCCCGGCTAATTTTTGTATTTTTAGTAGAGACGGGGTTTCACCATGTTGGTCAGGTTGGTCTCAAACTCTTGGCCTCATGTGATCCGCCCGCCTTGGCCTCCCAAAGTGCTGGGATTACAGGCGTGAGCCACCACACTCAGCCTGAGCAGCCATCTCAAGACCATGAGGTAACCAGTGTGAGGGTGAAAGCCAGACTTCCAGAACAGCAGAAAGAGAAGATGGGGAGACCCTGGGGTCCTGATGGCATCTTTGAGCACTTAAACAGCCCAGAAATCACCCACCTACCTTCAGACTTCTTGGCAAATGAGAATAGTGAATCTCTTTTGTTTCAAAATCAAAGAGTTTACATCCTGTTCCACCACTTACTAGATATCTGGCCTTGTCCAAATCACTTCACTTCCTTGAGCACTGGGTTTCTCATCTATAAGACCTACAATACCCACCTCTCCAGGTCGTTTGGATTAGAGGTAAAGAATGGACAGTACCTGGTGCATGGGAGATGTTTGCTAGTGGCATACCCCCTGGGTGATGTAGGAAGTACAAGGGTAGGTGTGGTGATAGGAAAAGCCAGGTAAGAAGGTAGGACAAATCAAAGGGTACTGTGTACTAGGCACAGGAGGTTAGGATTTTATCTTGTAGGCAATGGAGAGCTAGCAAAGAATTGTAAGCCGAGGGGAATTTATAAAGAGATTTGCATTGAGAAGGCCGGGCGCAGTGGCTCATGCCTGTAATCCCAGCACTTTGGGAGGCCAAGGTGGGTGGATCACCTGAGGTCGGGAGTTCGAGACCAGCCTGACCAACATGGAGAAACCCCGTCTCTACTAAAAATACAAAATTAGCTGGGCCTGGTGGCACATGCCTATAATCCCAGCTACTAGGGAGGCTGAGGCAGGAGAATTGCTTGAACCTGGGAGGCGGAGGTTGCGGTGAGCCGAGATCGTGCCATTGCACTCCAGCCTGGGCAACAGAGTGAAACTCTGCCTCAAAAAAAAAAAAAAAAAAAAAAGAGATTTGCATTGAGAAAGTATAATAGCGTGGAAGACAAATTAGGGGAAACTAAGTCTAGAAATGGGAAGACCTGTAGGGAGATGATCATAATTGTCCAAGCTGTTTGGGCATGGTGGCTCACACCTGTAATCCCAGCACTTTGGGAGACTGAGGCGGACTTGAGGTCAGGAGTTCGAGACCAGACTGGCCAACGTGGTGAAACCCTGTCTCTATCAAAGAACTCCACTAAAATTAGCTGGGTATAGTGGCGCACACCTGTGTTCTCAGCTACTTAGGAAGTTGAGATGGGAAGATCGCCTGAGCCTGGGAGGTCAAGGCTGCAGTGAGCCGAGGTCGCGCCACTGTACTCCACTGTACTCCAGCCTGGGCAACAGTGAGACTCTTTTTTTTTTTTTTAAATAATTGTCCAAGCTGTCATTGTCTGTCACCTGCACCATTTCAGTTGCTTCTTACCCTAGTCTCTGCTGACTCTCTGTCCACTATTTCAGTTGAGAATGTATTTAGGTGTAGGTAACAGAAAAAGAAATTTATAGTGACTTAAACAAATACGGGGTCATTTTTCTCACCTAAACAGTTCAGCAGTAGGCAAGAGTCAAAGGGTCAATGATGTTGACAAGTACCCAGACCAGGTTTTTTCTGTCCTCACTCTACCAGCTTAGCCTGTCCCTTCGTGGCTGTGAGGCCTCCTGCACTCTCAGGTGTCCTCTTTACATTTCAGGCAGGGAGAAGGGCAGAGAGCTGCACCAGCTGACTTTGTCCCTTTTTATCAGCAAAGACAAGCTTTCTCCGAAGGTCTCCCACCTCCCCCTCATGGGCCAGACCAGGGTCACGCGGCCTATCCTAAGCTCAACAGAGACCAGGAATGGGAGGAAAACTGCTGGGTGAGACCCACATCAGCATCTGTCCCACCTGCACTCCCTGATCCATCGTCCATGTAACAGCTGGGATAATTCTTGTTTTAAAGTTTAATTTTATTGATTTTTGAGACAGTCTTGTTCTGTCACTCAGGTTGGAGTACAGTGTAGCTCACTGTAACTTCAAACTTTTGGGCTCAAACAGTCCTCTTACTTCAGCCTCCCTAGTACTAGGACTACAGGTACATGCCACCACTAATTTAAAAAAAAATTTTGTAGGCTGGGTGCGGTGGCTCACACCTGTATTCCCAATACTCTGGGAAGCCAAGGCAGTGGATCACTTGAGGTCAAGAGTTCGAGACCATCCTGGCCAACATGGTAAAACCTCATCTCTACTAAAAATACAAAAAAAAATTAACTTGGTATGATGGCACACAATTGTAATCCCTACTACTTGGGAGGCTGAGGTAGGAGAATTGCTTGAACTCAGAAGGCAGAGGTCGCAGTGAGCTGAGATCGTGCCATTGCACTCCAGCCTGGGTGACAGAGCAAGACTCCATCTCAAAAAAAAAACAATTTTTTTTTTTTTGTAGGCATGGGTTGCCTAGATTGCCGTGTTGCCCAGACTGGCTCAAACTCCTGGGCTCAAGTGATCCTCCTGCCTCAGTCTCTCAAAATGTTGGGATTATAGGTGTTAGCCTTCATACCTGGCCTAGAGTGATCTTTTAAGAAACTGAAATCAGAGTATGCCCTCTCCTGCCTAAAACCCATTAGTAGTTTCCCATGAGCTTAAAATCCAGATGGCACTCCAGGGGCTACAAAGCTTTGCAAGACCCCATCCACCCCTCAGACTTACCTACTCTTTCCCTCTCACTTCACTATGTTCTAGCCAGACTGATCTTTTTTCTGTTCCGCAAACATGCCAAGGTAGTTTCCATTTTAGTGCCTTTGAACTCTCCCTGATTTCTCTGCTCCAGATGTTCACATGGCTCGTGATGGAAGTTGGAATGCCCTGTGCTGAAAGGAAGAGAGAACTCCACCATGAGTGGCTTAAACAAACAGGGCTTGCTTTTCTCCCATAGCGAGTCTGGGGGTGGTGGCTGCTGGCCTTGGTTCAGGGCCTGCATCTCTCTGGAGTTTCCTTTCTTTCTCTCATGATCAGAGGAGGACCAGGAGGACCAGGAAGGGACTCTGCCAATGCAATTGTCTTTTTTTTTTTTTCCAGAAAAGTGAGAGCTTTCCCTCCACTACAGCTGACTTTCATTGGCCAGAACTGTGGACGTGCTTCCTCTTGAAGGGAGGCTGGAAAATGGAGTATTCCAGCAGCCAACAGTGCCCTAGACAGCTTCTTGTCACTGCCACAGAGTCCTTTCCTAGTGAGCCAACTAAAGTAGCCTCCCCCAAATATTTTTCAATATTTAACTAAAAAATACCTCCCCTTTGGCCAAGCACAGTGGCTCATGCCTGTAATCCCAGCACTTTGGGAGGCCAAGGCAGGTGGATCATGAGTTCAGGAGATCGAAACCATCCTGGCCAACATGGTGAAACCCCGTCTCTACTAAAAATACAAAAATTAACTGAGCGTGGTGGCAGATGCCTGTAATCCCAGCTACTCGGGAGGCTGAGGCAGGAGAATTGCTTGAACCTGGGAGGCGGAGGTTGCAGTGAGCCAAGATTACACCACTGCACTCCAGCCTGGAGACAGAGTGAGATTCCGTCTAAAATAAATATATATATATATATCCCCCTAGTCATTCTTCTCACATCACTTTGTTTTGTTTTCTTCATATCCCCTATCACTGTCTGATACTATCTTGGTTATTTTGTTGTTACTATCTGTGGCCCCAAGAATGCATGCTCCAGTGAGGCCTTGTCAGCCCTGTTCATCACTCTGTGACCAGCACCCACAGTAGTGTCTTTTTGTACAGATGGGTTGCCCAGGTTGCCTTGTTGCCCGGGCTGGTCTCAAACTCTTAGGGTCAAGTGATCCTCTTGCCTCAGTCTCTCAAAGTGTTAAGATTACAGTTCTGAGCCTCCACACCTGGCCTAGAATGATCTTTTAAGAAACTAAAATCAGAGTATGCACTCTCAGTGTAACCTCCACCTCCTGGATTCCAGCAATTTTCCTGCCTCAGCTTCCTGAGTAGTTGAGATTACAGGTATATGCCACCACACCCAGCTAATTTTTGTATTTTTACCAAGTTGGTCAGGCTGGTCTCGATCTCCTGACCTCGTGCAGCTGCTCAATATGCATTTGCTGAAAGATAAATCAATGGGGTGTTGGAAGACTGAACTGCAGGGTGAGGCCTTGATATATGCAGTGGCATGAAAACGGGAGGTGAATTCTAGACATATTTAGGAAGGGGAATTGGCAGGGCCTGTAATTTGAATGGGGTGGAGTTATTACAGAAGTTGTAGATTCTAGAATGACTTCCAGGTTTCTTGCATGGGAAGAAGAAGAATGCTGGAATCATTCACTAATACAGAGGGGAAGCAGGTAGGGGCAGGGGAAATGGGGAGATGAATTTTGGCCAAAAGGTTTCCACTGAGTTTGCAACTGGGTCATGGTGATGTGAACATGAATAACTTCAGTGGGGTAGGCAGAAGTCAGATTGCAGTAAACTTGGTGGCAATTGTGAGATGAAGACATGGAAGTATATTCACAGTGCCCTTGAAGACAGCTTTCTAGGAGCATGGCTGGGAGAGGAAATGGAGAAAGGGCAGTCGTTGGAAGGGGAAGCAGGGTCAAGGGTGGGTTCTTGTAATGGGAGATGCTTGAGCATCCAGTAATTTGATGCTTTCATCTCTTCTGATAGATTTTACTTTTAAGCTAAAGTTAGGAGTGCCTCCCGAGCTGCTGGGATTACAGGTGTATGCCACCATACCTGGCTAATACACAAGCTAATAAGCTGGCTACAGGCAGGCCTGCTTTGCCACCTAGTGACCTTCAGCAACCCCTCCGTGTCAGGTTCCTCGTCTTCAAAATTGGAGCAGTAGTTCTCCTTAGGCTTGCAGTAAGGATTGCCTCAGTGTGTGGTTGCCTTGCTGTGTCTACCGGGTGGGAAGGAAGGGCAATGTCTGGAAAGCAGGCCACTCTTAGTCTAGCTGGACTGGCCTCTGCTGCCCTCTCCTGGGCATGTCTGCAGAGTTGACATGCTGTTCAGAGAATGCAGGCTCAAGGCCTGAGTGGAGTGTCAGCAGGAGGGAGAGAAGAGGAAACAAGGCTAGGCTGGGAGTGGGAAAATAGTAACAAATGCACAGATTCCTGTAATAGAAAGTTCTTTAGATGTTACAAAGACCAGGGCCTTAGCCCTGGGCAGTGCTGCTTCAATGAGTACCTTAGATGTTTACTTCTTTCTTTTTTCTTTTCTTTTCTTTTTTTTTTTTTTGCGATGGAGTCCACAGGCTGGAGTGCAGTGGTGATATCTCGGCCCACTGCAACCTTTGCCTCCTGAGTTCAAGTGATTCTCATGCCTCAGCCTCCCGAGCAGGTAGGATTACAGGCATGTGCCACCATGCCCAGCTAATTTTTGTATTTTTAGTAGAGACGGGGATTCACCATGTTGGTCAGGCTTGTCTCAAACTTGTGATCTCAAGTGATCCACCCGCCTTGGCCTCCCAAAGTACTTGGATTATAGGCATGAACCACCATACTCATTCAGTGTTTACTTCTTTAAAGTATCTGAAGAGAAACCTTGCAAATTGATTATTCATTCATTTATTCATTCACTTATTCACTCATTCAACAAATATTAGGGCATATTATATACTCAAGATGCAAAGTTTTGGGAATAAGACACACTCCTCAAGGAACCCATGGTCTAGTGAGTGAAGACAGATATATAGATACATAATTACAGTACAATTTCAAAAGTAAAATGTAAGATGCACAGTGTATTCTTGATTACAAGTATTCAATAGTTAATATGTTTTGGATCTGTGTCCCCACCCAAATCTCAGGTCAAATTGTAATTCCCAATGTTGGAGGTGGGGCCTGGTGGGAGGTGATTGGATCAGGGCGTGGTTTCTCATGAATGGTTTAACACCATCCCCTTGGTGCTGTTCTCATGATAGTGAGTTCTCTTGAGATCTGGTTGTTTAAAAGTGTGTAACACCTTCCCACTCTCTCTTGGTCCTGGTACTGCCATGTAAGATACTTATTCCATCTTTGCCTTCTGCCATGATTTGAAGCTTCCTGAGGCCTCCCCAGAAGCAGTTGCTGCCATGCTTCCTGTACAGCCTATGAAACCATAAGCCAATTTTTCTTTATAAATTGCCTGCTGTCAGATAGGTTTTTTGTTGTTGTTGTTGTTGTTTTTGAGATGGAGTCTTGTTCTGTTGTCCAGGCTGGAATGCAGTGGCACAATCTTGGCTCACTGCAACCTCTGCCTCCCAAGTTCAAGTGATTCTCCTGCCCCAGCCTCCCAAGCTGCTGGGATTACAGGTGTATGCCACCATACCTGGCTAATTTTTTTGTATTTTTAGTAGAGTCGGGGTTTCACCATGTTGGTCAGACTGATCTCAAACTCCTGACCTTGTGATTCACCCACCTTGGCCTTCCAAAGTGCTGGGATTACAGGAGTGAGCCACTGCACCTGGCCTTCAGGTATTTCTTTTTTTTTTTTTTTTTTTTTTTTTTGAGACGGAGTCTCGCTCTGTAGCCCAGGCTGGAGTGCAGTGGCCAGATCTCAGCTCACTGCAAGCTCCGCCTCCCGGGTCCACGCCATTCTCCTGCTTCAGCCTCCTGAGTAGCTGGGACTACAGGCACCCGCCACCTCGCCTGGCTAGTTTTTTTTGTATTTTTTAGTAGAGACGGGGTTTCACCGTGTTAGCCAGGATGGTCTCGAGCTCCTGACCTCGTGATCCGCCCATCTCGGCCTCCCAAAGTGCTGGGATTACAGGCTTGAGCCACTGCGCCCGGCCCAGGTATTTCTTTATAGCAATGTGAGAAGAGACTAATTCATAAAATTGGTTCTGAGGAGTAGGGCATTGCTATAAAGATACCCGAAGATGTGGAAGCAGCTTTGGAATTGGGTAACCGGCAGAGGTTGGAAGAGTGTGGTGTGGAGGGCTCAGAAGAAGATAGGAAGATGAAGGAAAGTTTGGAACTTCCTAGAGACTTGTTAAATTGTTGTGACAAAAATGTTGATAGTGATATGGACAAAAAGTCTAGGCTGATGAAGTCTCAGAAGGAGACGAGGAACTGATTGGGTACTGGAGCAAAAGTCACTTTTGTTATATGTTAGCAAACAACCTGGTGGCATTGTGCCCTGTCCTAGGGATCTGTGGAACTTTGAACTTGAGAGTGATGATTTAGGGTATCTGGTGGAAGAAATTTCTAAGGAGCAAAGCATTCAAGATATGGACTGGCTATTTCTAACAACCTATCTCATATGCATGAGCAAAGAAATGATGTAAAATTGGAACTTATATTTAAAGGGGAAGTAGAGCATAAAAGCTTTTGAAAAATGTTCAGCCCAGTCATGTGATAGAATAGAAAAGCCCATTTTCAGGGGAAAAATTCCAAGCAGGCTACATAAATTTGCATAAGTAAAAAGGAACCAAGTGCTAATATCCAAGACAATGGGGAAAATGCCTTGAAGGCATTTCAGAGACCTCCACATGCAGTCCCTCCCATCATACACCAGGAGCCCTAGGAGAGAAGAATGGTTTCGTGGGCCAGGCCCAGGGTCCTGCTGTCCTGTGCAGCCTCAGGACACTACTGCTCATATCCTGGCCACTACAGTTCCAAAGGGGCCAAGGTACTGCTCAGAGGGTGCAAACCCTAGGCCTTGGTGGCTTTCATGTAGTGTTAAGCCTGTGGGTGCACAGAGTGCAAGAGCTGAGGCTTGAGAACCTCTGCCTAGATTTCAGAGGATGTATAGAAAAGTCTGGATGTCCAGGCAGAACCCTGCTGGTAAAGGTGGAGCCCTCACAGAGACCCTCTATTAGGGCAGTGCAGAGAGGAAATGTGGGGTTGGAGCCCCCCAACACAGTCCCCACTGGGGCACTGCCTAGTGGAGCTTTGAGAAGCGGGCCACCACCTTCCAGACCCTGAAATGTTTGAGCCACTGACAGCTTGCATCCTTAACCTCAAAAAGTTCCAGTCACTCAATGCCAGCCCATGAGAGCAACTGTAGGGTCTGAACCCTGCAAAGCCATAGGGCAGAGCTGCTCAAGGCTTTGAGAGCCCACTTCTTGCATCAGTGTGCCCTGAGTGTGAGACATGGAGTCAAAGGAGATGATTTTGGAGTTTTAAGATTTAATAACTGCCCTGCTGGGTTTCAGACTTGTGTGGGGCCTGTAGCCCCTTTCTTTTGACCGATTTCTCCCTTTTCAAACAGGAATATTTACCCAATGCCTATACCGTCATTGTATCTTGGAAGTAACCAACCTGTTTTTGATTTTACAGGCTCATAGGTCGAAGGGACTAGCCTTGTCTCAGATGAGACTTTGGACTTTTGAGTAATACTGGAAGGAATTAAGACTTCAAGGGACTGTTGGGAAGGCATGATTGTATTTTGCAACATGAGAAGGACATGGAATTGGGAAGCATCCAGGGGTGGAATGATATTTTTGGATCTGTGTCCTCTCTCAAATATCATGTTAAATTGTAATCCCCAATGTTGGAGGTGGGGCCTGGTGGGAGGTGATTGGATCATGGGGGAGGGTTTCTTATGAATGGTTTAGCACTATCCCCTTGGTGCCTTTCTTGTGATAGTGAGTTCTTGTGAGATCTGGTTGTTTAAAAGTGTGTAGCACCTCCCCCAACCCTTGATCCTGCTTCTGCCATGTAAGATGCTCTCCCCACTTTGCCTTCTGCCATGATTAGAAGCTTCCTGAGGCCCCTCTGGAAGCACATACTGCCATACTTCCTGTACAGCCTGTGGAACTGTGAGCCAATTAAATCTCTTTTCTTTATAAATTGTCCAGTCTCAGGTATTTCTTTATAGAAATATGAGAACAGACATAGCTTTGTTAGGAGTAATTTTTTTTTTTTTTTTTTGAGATGGAATCTCGCTCTGTTACCAGGCTGGAGTGCAGTGGTGTGATCTCGGCTCACTGCAACCTCCGACTCCATGTTTCAAGTGATTCTCCTGCCTCAGTCTCCTGAGTAGCTGGGATTACAGGCATGCACCACCATGCCCAGCTAATTTTTGTATTTTTAGTAGAGACGGGGTTTCACCATGTTGGCCAGGATGGTCTCGATCTCCTGACCTTGTGATCCACCTGCCTCAGCCTCCCAAAGTGCTGGGATTACAGGCATGAGCCACTGCACCCAGCCAGGACTAATCTTGAATAAAATCCAAGCACAATGTCTGTCTGGCTTTGAAATACACCACTGTATGATTTCTTTTCCTCTGTGATGCCCCTTCAATGGTAAAGTAACATGGTAAAGTAACCTTGTGAAATTCCACAACCAAATCAACGAGGAAGAAAGAGTAGCTGTTTAGAGCTGTGAGAAGTATCTAAAAAATATTTATCTAGGTGAGAAGTATAAAAAAAATGTATCTCAGTTCTCATATTTAAAGGTGCTATAGGCCAGGCACAGTGGCTCAGGCCTATCATCCCAGCACTTTGGGAGGCCAAGATGTGTGGATCACCTGAGGTTGGGAGTTCGCAACCAACCTGACCAACATGGTGAAACCCCGTCTCTATTAAAAATACAAAAAATTAGCTGGCTGTGGTGGTGCATGCCTGTAATCCCAGCTACTTGGGAGGCTGAGGCAGGAGAATTGCTTGAACCCGGGAGGCGGAGGTTGCAGTGAACCAAAATTGCACCATGGCAGTCCAGCCTAGGCAACAAGAGCGAAACTCTGTCCCAAAAAAAGAAAGAAAGAAAGAAAGAAAAAAAGGTACTATAGTGGTTACTGTGGTGCCACTCAGATGTCCACCCCCATCAGGACTGAAGCATTCATCCTTGTCCTGCCCCTAGCACTTCTGGGAATTTTGGGTGACTGACAGTTCCCAGTTGCACTAGCATCTCTGGAAATTTGGGTGACTGACAGTTCCCAGCTGAGCTTCCTCCAGGAGTTGCCCTCAACTGAAAATTCATTCAAGATTATGCCCCCTCCTAAGACAGCCTGCATCTACTGATCAATGTGGAAGTATATTCCCCTGCATGATTCTGATTTCCTTGTCTCGGTGGGGCACAACTCTGCAGGGCCACAACAGTTCCTGAGTTCCTGCTGTCCAGTTCTAAGGCCCTCACTTTCTCCCAATGTTGTTGATCCTGAGAACGTGACATAATGAACTTCTTTTACTCAAATCTCCATCTGAGAGTATTTTTCCCGAGGAACCCAGCCTGACAGTCAGTGCCAAGAGTGCTGAGGAAGCACATTCTAAAATGAGATTCTAAACTGGAAATACCTGCTGGCCCGCTGACAGGGAGGGCCACTAGCAGTAGGTGGAGCATGGAAATTCCCTAGCAGGGGATCAGTGCAACTGTCAAAGCTTTCACTAGTGCTGAACTGGGATGGGATCCTGGGGG